CCCGGGGGGCGGTACCGCCCCCGTTGAGAACCAATGCTCTAGATCAAAGCAGTTGATTGGAGCAAATCAGTCCACTTCGATGTTTTGATTTAAAGCATTGAGTCAAGCTGACTTGCTTTTTTGAATAATACTCCAGCCAACCTGCATACTTTTAAACTATTCCTTTTGTAAAATATTGTATAGATTAGATTTCTTTTCTATATAATTTCTTCTTTCCATCACCTCTCATTGTCTAATACATTACTATAAGTGTTGGTTAAGGACTCTTGGCATTATTCAAGTAAGGTTAAGGGATGCTGAATGGTCATACAGCCTAGTCTATTGTATACTCGCATCTGCTTCAGAGAATTCAGAACATCTCTGTTTCATCCATAGCATTATTCATAAAAATTGGCTATTACAGTACAAATAATGATGTGGAACAATCCCCAGAAAGGTTTAAGGCATCATAAGATATATTTATGCTCAGCTTACTATCAATTGCATGACCATCTAGCATATTTTGTCTACATTTCCTAGCAGCCAAACCAAATGTATCCTAGAACCATGAGAAAAATGCTAGAAACAGTGATTTCTACTGCTTTGACCAGTCAACACATTTTTGGTAAGAATAAAATAAATACAGTAATGCAAGCTATGTTCTGTCGCTTCCTCAGTGTAAGCAAAGTATCTGAAGTTACTTGGGACTCTGTCAATTAATGTCAATCTGTTGTCAATTAATACAGAAGATAACATTCTTTGAAACTGATTTAATGTTTTATTTATGTATATTTATTAATTAAAATTAATAAGGTACAAATGCATACAACAGGATTAGCACAAAAATAAAACTTCTAATTCCCAGTCAGTGGTAATCCAGCATTACAGCCCATCCCTGCTAACCACTTTACAAATTTAAAAAAAAAAAAAACAAGTCAGGTGACTGTTGTTAATAATATTGTTACAGTGGGATGGAAAATGGAAATAAAGTTTAATGAAATGGGCATTCTTTAATAGAGTCCAATTTAAAGATGAGGGGAAATGAGAGTGAGGGAAGAATGGAAGAAATTAGGAAAATGCACACCTATAAACATTTCATAAACTTTGCCTATGACCAAGGTCATATAGAAGTAAATACAAATGTTTAATTAAAATCAAAGATAAAGAAATCTAGAAGGTTGAATCAGGGTGAATGTAATAGCAGAACATTCAGCTGGAAAAAGAAGGTGCCTTCTTTCTACAGGAATTTAAAAAAGTAAAATGTTTTTCAGTTTCTACGTTATTATGAAATGATTTCTAAATAAAATTGGATAATTTCAGAATACAGTTAGCCAGAAACCTGATGAAGGGTTCAGGATTCTCCTCCCAAGCCACATTCTTCACATTATTAATTCTTTTTCTTCTGTTTGTTTTTTTTCTTGTGTTGTCTTTAATAAAATTAGGAAAACAAAATACTATAATTTTGTTTTCTGCCCATTTGATTACCCATGCAAGTGGGCCATATTTTAAAATGTCATTCTTTGTGGTGAATCGAAGGAACCTCACAGTAACTTGCTAGGGCATATCAGATACACAAAAAGAAGGTGGAATGCTGGGGGCGATGGGGGAGGCTCTGAATTATAATCTGTCAGGCCCAGCCCAAGAACAACAACAAGACAGTCCAGTCCAATATAGTTCCTTTATTAGCTCGCTCCTAATAGAATCTCGCCAGACTAAACCTATGCTAAAGGATATACCCCGTGAGACTCTAGGGAGGGGCTGTCCTCATCCTCTTTG